CCACATCTCTGGCCTGCTCCCACATCTCTGCCCTATCCAGATCCCTCTGCATCCCATCCCTTCCCTCCAGTGTATCAACCAAACCACACAGCTCAGTGTCATTGCCAGACTTGCCGAGGGCACATCAATCCCACTGTCCATGTTGCTGACAAAGATGTTGAACAAGATCAGTCTCAACACTGACCCATGAAGGACACCGCTCACCACGAGTCTACACTTGCACATTGAGCTGTTGACCTCAACTCTTTGAGTGCAGTCATCCAGCCAGTTCCTTATCCAGCAAGTGGTCCATCCATCAGAATTATGTCTCTCTGCCATGCAGGACAGTATCAAATGCCATCATAGGATACTTGCCTTCCATCAAATAGCAAGGCAAATTTTAGCTTGCTTTCCCAGTCTTTGAGCTCATAAGTGCTTAGGGCTCACTTTTAGGTCAAAGATCTTTTGAAGATCAGGGTTGACAACTGCGCTTGATAGCTGGGCATTGATGGCTCTGTTTGTCCCACGCTGTGACTTGCTGAGTGTCCCAGATCTTGCCTGTGAAGATGGGCTTTTTGATGGGCTTTTCAGCTCATTCCCAAAGCTGTACAATGAACTCCCATGGGGTGGGGAGACAAGGGAGGCGGCGTTGGGTCTTGGTACTGTTTTCATCAAGGTTGGATTCAGTCAGGTGCAAAGCAGAACACATTTTCTCCCCAGTCCTCCTCCAATCCCTGCAGAAGAAAGTCACTATGAGGGGTATCGACTGCGATGCAGGCATGTGACTCAGAGTGTGATAGAAGTGCTCACAATGGAGCTGAAGATGATTGCACAAGTCATCAAGTATGTGGTCAATACCCCCAGCACTGCTTGTGATGGAAGGGTTTTCTTGCTCTACTTCTTGATCTAACTGTTGATGTCAACTGTTCTCTATTGAATTGCAAGTCACTGCCTCCCATGCCAGTTAAATAGTGCCTAGTGATGACGTAACGTTATAGTAGTAAAAAAGAGCATACTAATGGCTGAAGACAGTGTGGAGAAAAAATAGTGCAAGTGATGGAGAACTACTGTAAGAGCATTAAAAATAAAAGCAATAATGTTCATGCAAAGGAAACTTAATGTGGAAATGTCACAGACTGACGAGATGCAGTCTCATGGGGGACTCTTCATCAGGGACTGTAGTGCTAGGACAAGGGGTGATGGGTTCAAACTGAAACAGGGGAAGTTCAGGTTAGATCTAAGGCAGAAGCTCTTCCCGGTGAGGGTGCTGAGGCGCTGGCACAGGGTGCCCAGAGAAGCTGTGGCTGCCCCATCCCTGGCAGTGTTCAAGGCCAGGTTGGACACAGGGGCTTGGAGCAACCTGGTCTGGTGTGAGGTGTCCCTGCCCATGGCAGGGGGTTGGAACTGGATGATCTTAAGGCCCTTTCTAACCCAAACCAGTCCGGGATTCTATGATTCTGTACAAGGACTTAATGCTCACCTGCTCACAGCAGTTTGGGCAGTTACGTTGCTTCAGTTTTGTCATCCTGCTTTCCTTCTATTACTCACCCTTTGTGCCAGGATGCAAATACTGTTCTATAAAGCACCTTCCAGTGCAGCATCCTTAAGTAAAACAACAAAGGAAATATTGTCAGCATCAGCAGGGAAAGGAAAGAGGGACAGCAGACAGGTAGGAAACTGACTGACAAGTCAGCAAGAGCTAGCTCAGACCACTGAAACGTAATCTTCAGGAAAACAGGAATTCTTCCCATGTGCCCAAGCCCATGCAGAAATGACAGTAAAGACATTTTACAAGTTGCTATTTGTGATATTTACTGCACCCATATATGTGTATGTGCTTGCATGCACACACTTGCTTAGTATTTCATTAAAACTCACCCACAAAGAACTCAGGGAAAATGAGCATCTCCTTTTGACTGTGTCCTTAACATACTGATGAATGTGGCCATTAATTATCATGAGAAGTATAAATCCATGTTTTCCTCATTTCACTAAACTCTTAGGCTCAAATTCAGTAAAAAATGCCGTTCTCATAACCAGTAGAAACAGTCAAATTGGATCAGCTGCATTGGTTTGGGAGGGCTGGTGTTAATCCAGCAGTAAGGTAGCACAGTTACAATCCGAATGCATCCCAGTGTTTCAGGAGTAGTTGTGCTCAGCTTTTCTCTGCTTGATATTTGTAATAGAGATTGCTTTCTGCATCCATCACCTCCATATTAGTCCTTTGACTTTCTTGACAAGACAGATGGGAGTTGACTTCATCATGGCATGATAGCTATCTCTTTGAATCACTTACAAATGTTAACAGTGACCTTTCCTGCGGGATAAATTAGACAGCCAGGAGATCTTTATAACAGTCTGAGATGTCCACCTACCATGATAATCATGGTGTGCATGTGTCTGTGAATTTTAGGGGATTCTCATAAATCCAACCTTTGGTGTAAGTGCAAGGAGAGGACTGGGAAGCACTACCATTCCAGGGCACTTTTTCTGGGTTTCTTGTTTCCCCCCTCCCCTTTTTATTCCCCTTTATGCATGTTAAATAACTCTATCTAGCGTCCCCTGCTAGGTCTGCAAACTGACTGGTGTGGAACACAAGCTGGTTCAACAGCTTTTGACAGTTGCTCAAAAAGGGGTAAAAGCATACTCAAAACCATTAACTGAGTATCCAGTTTTTCCAGTTTGAGAACCCTTTGAACCCCCCACATGTTGATCTTTTCTCTCCCTCGGGCACACATTAATCTCTTCTTGCTTCTCCATAAAACACAGCCCAGGGCAAAGCTGGGTTCTACACATCCTTTAGGAGCAAACTTCAATAAAGTTTATATTTAATACACTGGCATATTGCTTGTGCTCTTCAGCTGTGGGAGATCTGCTCTTCAGGTGGATATACTCCAAGGAAAATCACTTTTGCTTGCCATGTATTTACCATGTTTAAACTCTAGTGCTGTATCCTTGTTACCCTATAAAAGTACATGTTTCGCAAGCTGAAAGAGAAGATTTAATGTTGTGACTCCTGTGTCTAGATACCCACAGGCTAAGATCAAGATGCATTCGGTGATGCACACGCGTTAAGAGCAAGCCATCCATCTGCCTTGTGCAACATTTAGTGGGAAGCAGATCTTTGGTTTTAAAAGTCAGACAGCATCTGCCACCAAAAACTGACCTCAGAATTCTAGAAAAGCTAAAAATCACATTTCTGCATGAGAGGAGGTTGAGACTGGACATTAGGAAACATTTGTTGACTTAGAGGGTAGGCAAACACTGGAACAGGCTTCCTAGGGAGGTGACCAGTGTTTAAGAGGCATTTGGACAATGTCCTTAACAACATGCTTTAACATCTTGGTAGCCCTGAGTTGGTCAGGCGTTTGGATTAGCTGATCATTGTAGGTCACTTCCAACTGAAAAAGTATCCTACCCTATCCTGTCTTATCCTATTCTTTCTCATTCAACTTTTCTTCCCTATCCATCACCTATGGAGAAGATAGTGTTTCACTCAAACTCTTGATTCCATAAAGGTTCGTATCACAGAACACTTTATGATGAAAACAACAACAAAACATCTTTTGTAGTGATTGGGCTGTACTAAATGTCAATGTGGATTCTCATATTTAGTGCAAGAGCACTTTTTTCCTAAGGTAACATAATCGTTTTTGGAAACCCATCATTAACTACAAAGGATAATAAAAAGTTTAAGGAACACTGAAGTGAGGCTGCAGTTCTTGAAACGTACATCAGTGAAGATGATGAAGAGAATGTAGTGTCTGGCCTTTATCCTTTTTTGTTTTACTCATAGAATAGAGTATGAATTAGGTACTTCTAAAAGCAAATAATAAAACAAAATAACATTGATTTCCTCTTCTGTCCTATAAAATTATTGATCTGGTTTTAACCTAATTGGCACTTGAGAAAATAAATGGAAGAAGCAGTAGGCTATTTCTGGGGTTCAAGTAGTTGTTCTCAGTAGGAGAGTCCTAGACCTGCTTGTCTGGGGCTGTGTTGGCTGTCCTAAGAAGCTAAAGGTCTGAGTGCTGTAGCATACTGTATTTGCTTTGTTCTCCTTCTCTTTAATCTCATGTTTCTAGTTATTCCTTATAAACTGGAGAACTAACAGCGCTAAAGGTGCCTTAATGTATCCATACCCAGCAATTGAGCATGCACTGCTGAAAAAAGAGGGTTTCAGTAAGTCTTATCTAACATCAAAATGAACAGCTGCTTAAAGGAAAGAGATAATAAAGTTGTTTTTCCAGTTACAGCCACCAGAGTTTGTGTGAAGCAAAGGAACATTACTTCTCCTATGTCCTGCCTACGAGGTCAACTGACATATAGTTTGATACAGTATTTCTGTCACAGGCATTTTGAATCAGTTATGCTTTTGCCTGTGCTATAGAATTTACTGTATAGAACCTGAAATCAGTCTGTTCCCTCGATTTTCATCCTCAGACATTCTCTCTCTGGGAAGATTTACAGATGGATGAGCCCCTGATCCTCAGGCTTATGTATTTGCAGGTTTGAGGAATTAATTCAGTTTAGGTCTAAGCTTCCCACACTTTCTTTTAGGGAAAGCAACACTAAAGGCATCACACATAAATTCAGTGGCAGTGTTTGTATTGGCTTCAACAAGCTTTAGCTCAACCTCCAAGCTGTATAGTCTGGATGTTGAGCTTGGTGCTTGAAGGTACATCAGATACATCTTATAGCTATCAGAGGAGTTGTCCTGAAGCCTAAAGCTCTGTGAGAATCACCGGAATCATGATAGTTGATCACAAGTTACACATCAGGGCCTTATGGCTGATGAAACAAACCAAACACCATGGATAAACCTGCATGCTTTTCCTTGGTATGTGATCTCATTTATTTCATAAAGAGTAAATAAGGTAAATTGAGATGTGATATAACTGAGGATATAAATGCTTACACACTGAGCTCTCAACCTTTGGTTTCTGGGGCTATCACACAGCAAAAACCGTTGTCTAATGCTGTCCTCCTGCTGAAAATGACTCTCCTATGTTTGCACTGCCATGCGATAGCTCCTGTGGATATGGAGACAGATGTTTCCACATCTGTTTGCCAGTACCCAAAAAGGAAGATTGTGTTTTAAAGCCTGTTTAAAACACTGTTGCGTAAACAGCCTTATCTAGCTCGCTCCTTTGGGATAAGGTTTGGACCATCTCTCCCATAGAAACTGTGTTGTAGAGGAATTGCATGTATATGTTATTGTGCATGCTGTAGCAGTGTGCAGATGTGAAAAAGGGAGGAAAAGAGAAGTAGATTTGATTTCATTCCCCAGTTCTTGTGTTTGTTCACAGCAGGTAGCCAGGTGTTGTGTTTTAGCACCGCTAAAGCTGCAGCTAGGAGCAGCAAGGTCATTGTACATATTACCCCTCTGTGCTAATGTGATGCTGTTGTTTTCTCTGTCTGCTCTTGTAACCAAACAGAAGTACTCTGCTGTCTCTCTCTGCAACATATCCACAGAAGTCCTGAAAGTCATCAATGCCACTGAAGAACTGATAGCAGAATCCAGCGGTCCCTGCGATTTCCCAGCTGATATTCAGGACAGGGGAAAAGGGACCTTCCCACTGGGGACAGACCCTATCAGGCTTGATGAGCAGCTCACCACACTGGAAGAAAACGTAAGAGCATGGATCAGTATGTGAAAGTGTCCCATGTGTGAGTAAGCATGTGTGTGTGTGTGCCAGTGTGATGCGTTGGCAGCAAGAATGGGTGTTCACAATTAATACTGGGTTATTAAATACACAAAAAGAACAAAAATTCCTGTTGTAAAGGAGTGTTCTGCTCTTTTGCTGGGGTTTTTTTCCTAATGTGTACTTGAAAATATTTGGGGAGTGTTGGATGTTTTGGGGTTTGCAACTGATTTTATACTCTCTATCTCAAGTTACCTTAAGCCTTCCAACCCTCTATGGCTGTGTGGCTGCACCATGCCTGGCTGAAACCACACTCCCCCAAGTCCCAGCACAGCCTCATGCATGTAAGCATAGGTAGGAAATAATGTCCCCAGTCATACAGAGGAGAGGAAGCTTTTTCTATAAAGCAGGGACCTCCATCTATCTGGGTACCTTAGATTTCTTTGTGAAATAAAAGAAACACATGAAACACAGCTTATGATGAATTACTGCTCCATTGAGCTGAATGGGAAATGAAGCCTTTACCTGCAGGTCTCAGAGGTACTGTCATTGTGTCTTGTATGGCACACATAAGTCTATTGGCCCTCCAGAGATTGACTCCAAAGGGCCAGGAGGCAGGAACTTTTTAGCTGCTGTATATTTGGGTGAGAATGAAAATGGGAAACTGTGTTGTACATGTAAGCACAGATACTCTGTAAGAAGTTAAGAACCATATGCTGCTGAACAGCTATTCTTAGCGTTTTGCTTGACAGAAGGATTAGGCGTGTTTCACACCTCATGTAAAGCTGTGTTTCATAATAAACACAGGTTTATATGAGGTGTGATCTGATGCCTTCACTTGCAGACTTTGAGTTGGTGTGAGTAATTGGAATATCAAAACTAAAGCAAACTTTCCAGCTTTTGTTTTGGTTTTGGTGGTGAACCTGCAACAGATCTGGTTTGGAATACCATTGTGGCACTTGGGCCATCTGAGTGCAGCCACCTTGTGTGAATGTGTGCTTTCAGATTAGGGTCATAGAATCCCAGAATGGTTTCAGTAGGAAAAGACATTGCAGCTCATCCAGTTCTAACGCCCTGTCGTGGGCAGGCACACCTCACCCTACACCATGTTGCCCAAGGCTCTGTCCAGCCTGCCTTGAACACTGCCAGGGATGGAGCATTTACCATTTCTCTGGGCACCCTGTGCCAGTGCCTCACCACCCTCATAGCAAAGAACTTCTTTCTTATACCCAACCTGAACTTCCCCTGTTTCAGTTTGAACCCATCACCCCTTGTCCTATTGCTACACTTCCTGATGAAGAGTCCCTCCAGCATCCAGAGGATTCCCCTATGGCTTTCCTCTGCCAGGTAAGTCCCCCTCTAGTGGGTTAGCAAGGAAGGGAAGCTCACAGGTATCATGGAAGATGCAGGCTGTTTAAACCTTTATGCCCCCAGAACAGAAATCAGTGATGCTCTCCCTGCCTTGGCCCTGCAGGTGTACCTGACAGCCAGCACGGTGTACGGGCTGGAGGGGCAGCTGACCAGCCTGGAAGATGCTGCACGCAAGATCAACAGTGTCACTGCAGAGTCTGAGCTGGCCCATCTGGAAGACCAAGTGGCCACAGCAGCTGCCCAGGTTCATCATGCAGAGCTTCAGGTGAGGACAGCAGCTCCTCCCCATCCGCAGGGTCACGCTGCCTTGCTGCGTGCTTCCCTGTGGTCTGCACACACCTCCTTTTGATACTGTTTTGTCCCGCAGTGGACTGATGATCCAAGGATGCTGACTGCGTCACAGGAGCCGAGCAAAGTGTAGTTCGGATGTGTAACTCAGCCCAAACAGATGTGCTGTCTGTGCCAGGGCAGGGATTGTCCCCTGTGCTGGGCACTGGTGAGGCTGCATCTCAAATCCTGTGTTCAGTTCTGGGCCCCTCACTGCAAGAGAGACATTGAGGGACTGGAGCGGGGCCAGAGAAGGGCAGCGGAGGTGGTGCAGGACCTGGAGCACAAGTGTGATGGGGAACGGCTGAGGGACCTGGGGGGTTCAGTCTGGAGAAGAGAAGGCTCAGGGGGGACCTGATGGCTCCCTACAAGTGCCTGACAGGAGGTTGGAGTGAGGTGGGGTCGGTCTCTGCTCCCAAGGAACAAGGGACAGGACAAGAGGAAACGGCCTCAAGCTGCACCAGGGCAGGTTTAGATGGAGCTGAGGAACAATTCCTTCCCCAGAGGGTGCTCAGGCATTGGAACAGGCTGCCCAGGGCAGGGCTGCAGTCACCGTCCCTGCAAGTGTTCACACAGCGTGGAGACGAGGCCTCAGTGCCATGGGTTAGTGGTGGCCTTGGAGTGCTGGGAACGGTTGGACTGGGTGAGCTTAAAGGGCTTTTCCAGCCTGTATTTGTCTCTTCCGCTCATTTGTTTTTACCATGGGAGTGCAGCAGCCTGGGAGTGCAGTGCTAATGCTGAACCTGCTCCTTGCTGCCAGGCAGCTCGCATGCTGTGCTCCGTGTCCCATGCATGGCTGTGGTCAGGCTGCAGGTGCAGCCCTAGGCAGTTTATCTAGTCAGCAGATTGTAAAGCACTTCCCAGAAGAAGCACTTGGCAGTTCTAACAAGAAGGGCCAAGGGCAGCCAGCACCTGAGCCAAGCCCAGAGCCTAGCACTTGGGATTTAGCCTCTAAGCAGTACACATCCCATCCTAAAGGCAGGTGCTCTGTGGGCTGTGATCTAGCCTCTCTCTAGAGGCCCCAGATAGCCTGGGGCTCAGAAGAACTCATTGTGATCTGGTGCTAAGAGCTGAATGAATTAACACTGCCAGTCCTCAAGGGGCTAACACGCTAGCAGCTCACTGCCAGTGCTCTCAATGACCAGGCTGTATCACCGAGGCTCTCTGACCTGGTCCAGCCTTTCTTGGGAAATACGTGTTCATTCAACTCAGCAGGAGCATCTCCTTTTAGGACTGAGCAAAGATCTGAGGGTCTGGCATCTCTCTGATGTCAGGAGTGCTGGCTGTGATGTTTTGCTGCCTTTTGGTCATTATTTTAGGGTAGAGATGTGAATGGGAGTGAGAGGGGAAGAGAGGCCTAAGCTATAAAGGAGGATGACAGAGAGGCCAGTGAAAGCTCTTCTGCAGAGTGAACAGCTTCAGGTGTCATTGTGAATCAGGAGCTGGGTTTTATGTTTGAATTCTCTGGCACTGCTTTCCCTTTTGGCAACGTGTTTCTGCTAGTCTCAGCATCAGCTTACTTTCCCTCAGGTGTTTGCTTTCACGGACTTCTTTTTCCCTAGCAATTTGTTTTCCATTGAGTGTTTCTATATAGTATGTACCTGCATTATGCATGTTTGGGTTTAACATACATATACCCTTAAATTATAAATATTTAAGATCAAATGTTTTGATTTTGTGGTGGAGGATGTAGTTTGTGTGTGCATGGAATTATTAGTGAATTAGGAAATGTATCCCACTACATTCTTTGAATGTAGCCATTGAAAATCACTGCTTGAATGCATTTGGGATTAGGCAGCTAAAGGTAACTGGGAGGTGGCAGATGCAGGTTTTCCCTCCTCCTTTCTTATTTTCCTCAAAAGGAGCGAAATGCCTCTTCCTTGGGGTCACAAGGTAGGTTGGATTGTTCTTATACTTCGTCTTTACTAACAAGCCCCTTTTAACATCAAGACTAAAGAATAGAGGCAGATGTCAGAAGTGCTGAACTCAGCCATCTGTTTGTATCTACTGGTTAAAGAGGGTTTGCTTTGGGATGGGAGCTATTTTAGTAGTGACATTACAGTAATTTGAAAACCTCTTTTTCCCCCTCCCCATCTGTCTGTCTCTCTCTTTTATTTCCATTGAAGATTTCAGATATTGAGAGCAGAATATCAGCTCTCACAGTTGCAGGCTTGAACGTGGCTCCATGTGTTCGCCTGACAAGGAAACGGGATCAAAAGCAAACAAACCAGGTGCCAGAACATTCTGTAGTATTCCAAAATACATTGGAATCTTGCCTCTTTTTCTGTCATGGAGTAATGCTTCTGTGTCGTTTACAGATGCACACAATAGACACATCAAGACAGCAGAGGAGAAAACTTCCAGCTCCGCCAATAAAAGGTGCACGTCAGTTGTTACATACATTAAAGAAAGAGATGTTCTCTTTGTAAGATTCAATATAATGGGCAGTTCAGCAAAGGAAGGGAAAGATTTAAGTTACCAAATGAACAGGTTTGGTTTATCTTCTTGTTAACCCCATGGTGTATTATCTGGCAAGTTTAGGGCATGCTTTGCCTTTCATTACTCTTGTCTTACTCTTGTAATTCCACTGATTGACATGGCCTCAGACTTCAGTACATTTGGAGTATCACAGCCTGCTGGCTCTCCTTTCAATTAAACCCACCTTTCTTCATGCAGCTTAGGGGAAGTTTTATCTCTCCAGAAGGTGTGACTCTGCGGGAGTATTGGTACATCTGCTTCAGTCTGCTCTCTGAAAAATCTCCCCTTTTTGTCTTTTTCCCAGGTGAAAAAATAGATGGTTCTCCAGTTACCACTGTCAGGACGTTCAACAGAAACTTCATGCTTCAAGGATCTCTAACACAAAGAACTAAAGAGAGGAAAAGCACTGCCAAGGACTTAATGGTAAACTCGTAACGTATCATAGAATCCCAGACTGGTTTGGGTTGGAAAGGACCTTAACATCATCCAGTTCCAACCCCCTGCCGTGGGCAGGGACACCTCACACCAGACCAGGTTGCTCCAAGCCCCTGTGTCCAACCTGGCCTTGAACACTGCCAGGGATGGGGCAGCCACAGCTTCTCTGGGCACCCTGTGCCAGTGCCTCAGCAGCCTCACAGGGAAGAGCTTCTGCCTTAGATCTAACCTGAACTTCCCCTGTTTCAGTTTGAACCCATCACCCCTTGTCCTATCACTACAGTCCCTGATGAAGAGTCCCTCTCCAGCATCCTTGTAGCCCCCTTCAGACACTGGAAGCTGCTCTGAGGTCTCCACGCAGCTTCTCTTCTCCAGGCTGAGCAGCCCCAGTGTTCTCTCCCTGTCTCCATAAGGAGGTGCTCCAGCCCCTGAGCATCCTCGTGGCCTCCTCTGGACTTGCTCCAACAGCTCCATGTCCTTTTTATGTTGAGGACACCAGAACTGCACACATCACTAAAACTGCTGTTAAAAGCAGTAAATAGAGAGCAGCATATGTGTAGGCAGGTGCATTTCATCACCTTCACAAAACTTCTCTTAATAGTTTGAGGAAAAAGAAGAGAGACCATTGAGGCATCTCTGAACAAATACAACCATTGTCCTAAGAGATGTCTGGCTGCATCCTATAGTCGAGCAGCTCCTGAATATCAGCTTGTGTGAATGTACCCTGGCTGCCAGGTCTCCAGGAGTGTGCTACCCGTATTCATTAAAAACCATATCCAATCCAATCAAATCGATTGGTGTTCCCCTGCCAGTCAGACCTGATGCAGGCCCTCACAGAACCAGCTGCTCACTGTAACGGAGCAGGTGAGAGCCCCCTGGAATCTCAGCAACGTTTGAGAAATGTTCAGAGGTTACCTAAGTGGGAAAGCTTGTTTCGTGGTTTGCTCATTTTCTCTCTTTCCTGTCCCTTTCTGTTTTAGGAACCTGCAATAGGATCTGCTGTGATGTACTAAACTTACTCCTACTGCCAGTAACACACTGCCTAAGGCTGTACACTAGAGTGCCTTTACTTAACAGCCATTGCATACGTCCAGCTGAAAATGGACCCTCAAAGAACCTACAAAGCCTCAGTTACAGGGCTTTGTTTGGATACCTCACTGAGAAAGCTGTCCAAGTCTTCAGCATTGTGGTCTGCTAAAGGAAACTCTGCCTTAAAGTTCTCACAAAACTCCAGACAGGATGCTGAGTTTCAAGAGCAAGGCTCCACGTTTTAAGATGCACTTTTTCTCCTTATTGATTGTACGGAAGTATGTCATCTTTACACCGCAGTATGTTTTTGTACACACAGTCAGTCATAATGATAGGCCAGTTAATCTGCCACACCAGACCTGTGATCCATATTTGCTGGTTACTAACATCCATGTTGTCAAGCAATAAGAACAACTCCGTGCAGTGTATGCTGGGTGGTGGGAGTGGAGAGCCAGTGTACCTCACTCTGGGAGTCAGTGGGAGGTTCTGACAGGGTTCACAGGAGGAGGTGCGGGATGTGCAAAGGCTTCTCTGTCCACTGAGGGTATGTTTGGCAGTCACTGTTGTAGCTCCAGAGCGAGGTATTTTGCTATTGACAGCAGGGGGAACATGGATGTCATGTTGAACCTTGAATTGGTAGCAGCACATGTGGACCAGATGTCTGTTACGATCCTGGTGTCTGGAAGCATCTGAGCACTGTTGTGAAACCAACACCTCTGTATGTCTCGTTCCTCTTGGTAGCATTGTCTGCTTTGGTGGTGGCCAACCACGCTGTAGTTCAGAATAAATTCTGACCAAATCTTTTAAGGTTGGTAAAAGAAGGTGAGAAGACATTGTAGATGAGATCTCTGCTGGTGGTTGTAGGGTGGCTGCAGCCCTACAGCCTGAGTGAGAGATTCCCTTCTGCTATTTCCTGGCTTTTCTGAGGAGGGGACAAATGTAGCCCAGCGGTCTCTCCTTTAGTAATCCAACGTAGAGTAGCTATGACCTGCTGCCATGTGCACCCCACTACTGTTGGACCACTCGAATTGGATTGTGAATGGTAGAATTCCATCTTTCATTGCTTGAGACCTTCAAAAGGTGAGCCCTCAAAGGTAGAAGGCCCTTGGGAAGATGCTGCTTACAGGGTGTCCCTCTCACCCTTTTGGGAAGACTTTGCCAATCTGTAGTACTTTTTGCTCTGAAGAATACGAAGGAAGAAGTTGGAGGAGGTGATAAGCCAGTGAATCTGTTACCTTCCATGCAGAGTGCAGAGCAGGTCCCCAGATGCAGAGTGGGTGGTTGTGAAACATGCCATGAAGGAGGGCACAGGCTGGCAAGTTCCCCCTCAGCATCAAGGAGGAGTAGGGACCAGGGCAGGAGGAGAGCTGCTCTTTTCCCTGGGCCCCCAGCAAATACCCAGTGGTAGAGTGCCACGTGTTACCTGCTACATGGCAGGAATGCCATGCCCTGGAACACCAGGCCATGTAGTAGCTCCAGTTGGGCAAACAGGAGGAAAACTGGGCAAATTTCCTGGCTGGGTGGGTTTTAGTTGGGCAGATGGGAAGGTGAGAAATGGCTAGATGGGGCAGTTGGAACAGCAGTGCCAGTTGCAAATCTGCCATTCACACTTGACATCTAGCACTTGTCAGTACCCTGATGTCCAGCTGCATGTAAGGAACCATCGGAATAAATACAACCTTCTTCCCATCTGGAGTACGTAAGCATCCCTCCATCCCTTCAAAGAATTCCCATCTGCCCAAGATCTGCTCAGATGTGTTCGTTCTGGGTGAAATTCTGCCTTCTTTTGCTCTCACACAATCCTAGTTCTCTGAAACTGCTTTTGCACAGGTGTGAGGGCAGAATTGGGCCCACTCTGTTTAATATATAAATATATATATATAAAACAAATATATTTTATTTATATATGCAATCCAGTAAAGGAGATTAAACAGAGTAGGATGCCTAGGGATTTGTTATCCGGTCTCCTCCTCCTTCCTTGACTGTTCTCTTATATACAGCACATTCCCAAGTTCTGGTTTATGCAGGTATGCGTGTTATGAAACGTCATTAATGGTGGTTGGTCTACATATCCATCTAATAACTAATAACTAATCTCGTGTATGTAATATCAATCCAGAAATGACTACTTTTAATAGAATTAACTCTTTGGCTTTTGTTCTGTTAGTGCGATTTAAACGAGCCAGCGCTGTTCGGACTAGGTTGTTTTTTCCTTAAGAGGCATGAAAAGCATCTATTATCGTGTTACAATGTTAAAATATTCAGTCTTTGACAGAAAAACGTGTACTGTGTAGGCATTGCAGCAACAAAATAGAAAAAGATATAAAAAAAAATATATCCCACGTGCTCCAAGGCATTTGACTTCTTCCAGGTGTTGATTGTGCCAAATCCGTGCAAAGATATAACCCACTGGTTTAAAAAAGTCCTCAAAGCGTCTGCTAGAGCACACAAAGACTTATTTTGTCATCGAGTGATTTCAATCTTCAGTGTTAATATTTCTATTTAGATTGATTTTTATAAATGAAAACTATTTTACTGGGCAAAACGAGGACTAGATGATCTGTTGGATTCAGTCTGAGTGAATGTTAAGCTTGCCTTGTTGTTATTATCTGCGTACTCACCGAGAACTGTCATCCAGAGGAACTATAAAAGAGTAAAAGTGGTTTATGAACAGAATGCCTTTGATTCATAAAGAAAACCCAAAAGTTGCTCTCTGGTGTTTGCATTTCTGTGCCCTTGGGCCAGGAAGCCTGTCCACAGTGACCCGTCACAGCCTCCCTTATCTGAGCTGAGGAGCATGCAGTAACACGCTCCGTTCATGTCCATGGGGCTGTGGTGGGAGGAATGCCATTGGGAACATCTGACGGTGAGTCTTCTCCAAGCTCCCAAGTCTGTTGGTTGAAATAGCATCTCCAACGGCACGATTGCTCCCAAAGGGAGCAAGAAGCCAACCTAGATAATCGTAGTCTGGTGTGTCCAAAGTCTCATGCGATGAATGCTCATCAGAACACTTTTTGATTAGCATCTTTTCTCCACTATGAGTGTGTTCATTTAAACCTGCATGTTTTAAGTAATACTTTGGGTCAGCAGGTAGTATTTAGAAATAGTAGCAAATAGCAGATAGTATTATAAATAAGCACGTAGTATTCTAAATAGTAGTCAATAGCCTATTATAGTAAAAATCCAAAGAGAACAAAAAGGGTTAAATCACCTACAGTGATGAATTCAACCACTATTAAATTGTAGTAGTGATTCCAACAAGGCACAGCTAGAAATGCAAGTTGATTCCCATGTCCCTTTTGCAGAACGGCTGTGGCCTGGATTTAACCATTGGTCATTAGCTAAATTGTCAACTATCTTTTTTTGGATATAAGCCATAAATTAAACTGCATTCAAATATTATTGCTGGTGATAGATATGGATCAAGATTACTGTAAATAGCACTTCTTGCTAATATAGCATAGTTAATTACCATTGCAAACGTGAGTATTGAGCCACAGGCTCAGAGATGTGGACTAAGGTAGCAGCAGCACATGGCTTGTGATCCTCCAAGAGTGACTTTAGCTTGACTAGGTAACATGCTTACAAACACCTGCATCGTTTGAAAGGGAATCAGCTGGTTTGGGCACTGACCCCTTTTGGGCAGTGGTGTACAATTACCTGCCTTAGGCACAGAATTACTCTTCAGAGTTCAATCAGCCTATATTTTTCTTCTCTTCAAGCAGGGAGAAAACACTTAGCCTTGATAGGAGCAGCTTTTTGTTCAGTGAGATACCTCTCCAGCAGTACAGGAAGAATCATGAAGTGCCAGTGGACAGTTCAGGGCAGCATTGCTACAGGTGGATGTTAACAACCTATGTAAAAACTACACAGAGAGCACCAGCATTACTGCAGGTACATTACAAATTAGTGAGAGCCTTTATTCTTTCTTCCAACCATTGCTTTTTATTTTTACATTATCAACAGCCATTTACTTTGAAACGTGACAGGGAGGTTTCATGATAGACTTAACACTGCAGAGTTTAAACCCCAGCACAAAGGCTGGGTGCGTTTTGGTAAGCTGAACATTACAGTGAACAGCATCAGGAAATGGGACAGAAGACAAAGAATAAGCTATGGAGGCACTTAGTTCTAGTGTCCATGCACTGTCTTTTACCTTCACCCTGAACACATTTCTCTTTGAAGGAACTTGCACAAGGAGCAGAAAGAAGAGCAGGGTGGCATTGCTAGGCAAAAGCAGACCTGGTGCCTGGAGCGCAGGGAAGGATGTGATTCCAAGCACAGAGGTTGGGTTGCCACCACAGGGAACAGAGGTCACCAGTCAATGTCTTGTGTGTCCAACACTTTGTGCTCCCACAAAGTGTTCAAGATGTAATCCAGGTGTCTGCTCACAGGCCTTAGGCTGTCAGGGTTGCTCCTCAGCTGCCTCTTCCCAAAGCGACCGATGGGGCGCACGCCACGGCCCACGTACCAAAAAGGATCGATCTCAGGACCTGGAATTCAAGGCAGTCAATGAAGCATCTACCACTGCACTTACAGGCAACATTTCCTGAACATATGGAGAGTGCTGGATGGCTTAGCCCAAGAAGAAACACAAGGGGAAAGGCTGCAGCCAGACACACAACTTTGGAGTGTCTTTGAGGGTTGCTTTCCTTGTGTAAAACCCAAAGGAAGAAGATGCAGATGCAGGAATAACTTTCATCTGTCTGGGCTGCAGTCTGCAGATCATAGAATCCCAGAGTGGTTTGGGTTGGAAAGGACCTTAAGGCTCATCCAGTTCCAACCCCTGCAATGGGAAGGGACACCTCACACCAGACCAGGTTGCTCCAAGCCCCTGTGTCCAACCTGGCCTTGAACACTGCCAGGGATGGGGCAGCCACAGCTTCTCTGGGCACCCTGTGCCAGCGCCTCAGCACCTTCACAGGGAAGAGCTTCTGCCTAAGAGCTCATCTCGGTCTCCCCCCATCAGGTTAAAGCCATTCCCCTTGTCCTGTCCCTACAGGCCATTGTCAAATGTCCCATGCCAAATTCCTTGTAATCTAACGTAAGCCGAAGTACCCATCAGATTCAGGAGGAGGGCACAGGATGGTTTAAAACTGATCTGAACCTCAGAAGAGGTGTCGGTGCAAGGTACAAACACCACAGTACCTCCACCATCTTTAGAACACCCTTCTCTTAGTTAAAGACCTGAAGTCCAACCATCCAGCTCCGTTGCTGCTATATACACCAGGTACACTAACTACAGAGTAACAAATCCACTGGAGTGCAGGGGGCTTCCTGTGAGATGAAAGCATAAAAACCTAATTCTTGTTCACTTAGGAAGTTGTTTCCTATGGAAAATGGGTGACATTTTTCTTTGAAAGCATCTGAAGTGCACTTATACCTGACTTACTTTGATAGTCTCATCTAGGTTTAGAGCAGGTGTGGAGTGGGGTATATATTATACTAAACGACTAAGATACAACAAGAGGGAATATCTACAAAGTGCTGGAGACGATGCCACCCCAAGGAAATGCCATATCATTCCAAAGGACTGTCAGGAACAGGAGCACATCTGAATTGAAGTGCATTATAGATCATCCACCTCATAGGGAAGTTTCAGGCAAGGCAGCAGGATTTTCCCCTGTGCATTTCAATGCATGAACAGAGAAAATAGAAAACCCCCTTTGGCTGTACTTTTTTCTCTATCAGTGCATGTTTGAAGGCTTCCCACACGTTTAACCCCCTCCTGCCCACCAACACCCAAACAAGGTCACCTTCTTCACCTGGGTACATAAAAACCAAGGTTCCCACCATCATTAATGCTCTTTAATGGGGAAAGATGTCCCACTGAGAGCCCATGTACCTTACTCCCTGCACCTCCTCTCCCCCACTCCACATACAGTTACCAGCCTTTGCTCCTTGGGGGAAGATGAGATTTCCTGATACAGATTTTCCTCAAAAACCTTTTGGCCTGTGTGTTTGTTAGCTTTTACTCAGGTGATATGGGATTGTGTCCCCCCGTCCTCCAGCCTCAATTCCCCACAGCATCTCTAAATGGAGACCCTTCAACCATTGACTTGCATTTTGACTTTGAGACAACTCATGGTTCCAGACAGAAATGAAGATGTCTGTAGGGCAAACTTAAGCTTCTGGCCCTTGCTTGCTTCTTACTGTATAGAAGTAGTTGTGAACTACTGCAGCTCCGCAGGACACAGCTGAAAATTCAAGCCCCTTGCATTCCATCAGGTGATGCTCATACTTACTCCTGTTGTCTATCTGGTGTTTAAATGGTCTGCTCTGTCCTGAAGCAAAGCTGAGCGATACCAGGAGCACCAGCAGGTAGACAGTGACCATCTTTAAGTGCTTTGGTGACCACTGGGCACGCGGTGTCCACAAGATCGGATGCCACATGATGGAGCAGCGGTGGGAAGGCTGTGAGGAGGTAAGTGAACATGGGGAGCATGTTGTGAGTTAAAGCTCTCAAGGTGAAGGAAGGTATTGACTGTAACGGGGCGTTTCCATCTATCAGACCCATGTCACAACTCAGTTCTATGAAACACTGGTGCTGGGGCTGTCTTGGGTATTCCTGCTTGAAGGCAAAGGCTATGCAGTGGGCCATCTACTGAGGTAACTGCAACTGGAGGGTTTTGCTCACCACCAGTGAAAGCCTCTCTCTTGGCTTCACAGGACACTGGAGTCCTGGCCCTGAGCTCGCTTCTGACTTTCTGTGTGGCCCCCTGTATGAGTGTGGGCACTGGCCACCAAAATGTGTTCTAGCCACTGCCTTTCACCCTTTCTTCACTTGCAGAATATGTCTAATGTTTGCATTTTACATATTCTTTGTACAACTGAATGTGTTTCAGTAGGGACAGGACAAGGGGGAATGGCTTTAACCTGACGGGGGGAGATTGAGCTGAGCTCTTAGGCACAAGCTCTTCCCTGTGAGGGTGCTGAGGTGTTGGCACAGGGTGCCCAGAGAAGCTGTGGCTGCCCCATCCCTGGCAGTGTTCAAGTATTCAACCTGCTCTAGTGTGAAGTGTCCCTGCCCAGGGAGCTGGAACTGGATGATCTTATGGTCCTTTCCAACCCAAACCAGTCTGGGATTCTATGAAAGGGAATATTCTCCCTGTGTCACCACTTCCTTGCTGACCCTATCAATAGCAGTTTGTAGGAGCTTCTTCACAGCAGTATTCCCATAGGCCGTGCAAGGACAGTCTGCCTTGAACACACAACGTCTGCCTGCATTTTTGGCAGCATGGAGCCTCTGCTAACAGAGTCAACAGGAACCCATTTGCTTAAGCATCCCTTAGGCAGACATGCAGGTACAGAGCTATAGGAAACCCTCTTGTCGATACCTGCACAGAGGCTTTTCCTTGTGTTCAGGTGTGGTTTTTCCCCTGTGGCTGTCAAAATCCTAGCCTACTTTCAGTACAAGCAAGCAGGAACGAACATCTTTTGATGCGAGATCCTCCTAAGCACACCATGCAGGCAATGCAACAGCAGCACGTGGAGAACGTGCTTGTGTCTCATTGAAATGTGAAGTCAAAAGCTCCTCAAGCCCCAGTTATCACTGAAGGCTTGTTTGGGGTTTTTATCCCACATCAACAATTACTCAGCAAGCTTTCCAGATTACCTCCTGTCTAGTTTTGCCTTGCAACTGAGTGACAGAAACGAAGAGCTTGCCTGGAGCTCATTGTTAATGCCAGACAGAAACACGGGGAAAAGCTT